CCCAGTGCTTTCTGGCTTGGGAAGGACCAGGCACCCTGGCCAGTATGGCTCAGTGGATAGAGAGTTGGCCTGTGGACAGAAGAGTCCCAGGTTTGATTCTGGTCCAGGGCATGTACCTCTGTTGCAGGTTCCCTGGCTCTCATCAGGGCACATACAGGAGGCAACCAATCAAATTGTCTCTCTCACATCGATGTTTCTCTGCTTCCCTTCCTCTCCCTTCACTCTCGCTAACAGCCAATGGGAAGATATCCTCCCATGAGGATTATTTAAAAAAAAAAGAAAGAAAAAAAAGGAAGGCTCGGATTGGGCAGGATGTGGCGTGGACGCGCTCGGAAGGAGAGAGCGGCCCGCACACAGGGACAGTGAACTGCTTCCTTCCGGTCTTTCTTCAGTGCCCGCATCTGAGAAAACCACACTGCAAGGACCGTCGGGCAGGCCTGGCCAGGAGGCGGCCGCAGCGCCGGGCTCCAGCTCCCGGGAGAGTGGGTGCGACTTGGCAGCCGGGGCGCCAGCTGTGGCGTCGCCACGCCAGAGGCTGGGCTCACCGCCCCGGCCTCCCCTTTTCCTAGAAAACAGAATTGTTTTGTTCTGCCCCGAGCAGAGGCCCCGGTTCCGGCCTCAACGAGGCCCCGGCAGCCAGGAAGTGAGAGCATCCGAAATGGGCCGTCTTAGGAAGGTGACCTCAGTTGCCAGGATGCAGGCTCACCTCTGAGGAGGCCCGGCTCTGTGCCCCCTGCGTGCGGCCGGGGTGTCAGGAGGAGCCGCCCTGAACACTCCCCCAGACCTCCCCCTCCCCCACCAGCTCGGAGGGCCTGCAGCCTCCAAGCAGGGCTGTGCCCAAACCTCAGGAGGTCCACACCAACCTGAGCTCCCTGCAGAGCCACCCCCCCCCCACACACACACACATCTGAGCCCTCCTGACATCATTCTGAGGGTCCTGGCCAGGCTGTAGCCACAGCCAGGGGCAGGGTCTGTGGCCCCGGTCTGTTGGGCAGAGGCCCGGGATCGCCCACGAGGGGTGGCGGAGGCCACAGACCCTAGACTCGGGCTTAGGAGCCTCTCAGAGCAGCCTGGGCTGGGGAGCCCGCCCCCGCCCCCTCCCCCCCGCCCTCCCCGGCCCCGCGTGCCATTCCCAGGATCAGACCACTTGGCACATTCTTCTGTGTCAGGTGCAGCCACGCCCGCCCGGCTGACGTGCGCCAGGTGGGGCCTCGCGGGGTCAGCAGCTCGCCCTGCCCGTGGGCGTGGGGATGGCACTTGTCATCGGAGCCTCGGAGAGGGGCCTCTTGTCCGGCTGCCTGCGTCCCTCCTGCCGGTGATGCAGCCGGGAAAGTATGTGCCTGTCTGTCCCTCTTCGTCGTCGTTTTTATTTTTTTTGAAGAACGTTCGAATCCCCTGCCGCTTGACAGCTGTGACACAGCCCAGGCACCGAGCCGCACGCCGGGCGGGGGCGCCCGCAGGGCCCAGGCCCTCCTGCACGGAGCTCGGGGTGACTCAGCCGTGTCTGCACGGCTTCCTGCTGGGAGGCGACCCCCTCACCCGCGAGGCAGCCCCCCGTTTCTTTACGTCCCTGGTTGCTGGTTGGGCACACCTGTCCTTGGGCTCCTGGGCCCCTCCCGAGAGCCGTCTGCCTGGCTCCCACTTCTCACTGAGCGGCCACTGTTCTCTGCTCGGACGAGGATCGGGGACACGGGCCTGGGGCAGCCTTCCTCCTCAGGGGTCTCAATGGCGCTCGTCATGCGCCCCAAACAGCCAGCCTGTCCCTTCTGGCTCCTGCTTCCTGCACTCAGGTGGTCACCAGGTGTCACTCTGTTTGCCTCCAGTTGCCCGGGCACCGAGACTGTGTGTGTGGATGGTGAGGAAGGGGTCACTCTCACATGCCCACATCGGGAGGTGCTTGTCTCCTTGTGCCACGTCATGGTGCATGGCCTCAACACACTGGACCCACCTGGGCGAGGGGTCCAGCCAGGCTCCCTCCCACCTGCACCCCCCTTCGCACAGTGTAGTCGTGAGAAGCCAGCCGGGTGTGGCGGGGGAGTCGGCCCTGAGGGCGGATCGGAATCGGGACGCCCGTTCCCACGGCCACGGCGGGACACACATCTGTGGGGAGACTTTGAAGTTGCGCCTCCAGTCGCACCTACGACTTCCCGTTCGTCCTGGAGGCGGCAGGTCCCACCGCATTCTCCGCGCCCATCTTCCTCGTTCTTGCCCGCGCTCGGGACCCCGTGAGGAAGGCGCACCCTCTCCCGCCGGCTCTGGCTCTCCTCACGCACCGGGGCTGTCGGGCCGGGAGTGAGTGTGGAGCTGAAACCCAGTGCCGCTCGCCCCTTTGTGCTCAGGTCAGGTCGTCATGTCATGGACGCGCACTGCTAGCTCTTGGAGTTCTGGGTCTCCGGAGTGTGAGCACGTTCCAGGCACACTGGCGGGTCCGACCCGGGGGGTCAGAAACCTCAGGGGTGCCGCTGCTCCCAGAACATCAGTGGACGGAGCCGGAGCCCGTGTTCACACGTGGCCTGCCCGTGTCCACGTCGGCTAGGTGGTACCTGGCTGGTGCTTCCGCTCACAGGGTCCATCAGGCACCCCGCCCGCTGGTTTATTCATCTCCAACCGTGGGAAGCCGCCACCGTGACCGTCCCTCCTTTACGAGCTGCTGGTCCGTGCGAACGCGGCACCTCGGAGCCGCCCGTTCCCAAGCCCATCCTGTGTTTACGAGCTCTTTCCTCGCCTCGCCGCGGCGTCCAGCCCTTTCCCGAGGCGCGGTGGCCAGCACGCCTTCCCCTTCCCTTCCGAGCAGACAATGAACGGGCGTGGAACGACAGGTGGGGGTGGTGGCCATGTCCCGGGCCCGCCACCGCAGCCCCCAGAAGGCCCTGGGCCTAAGACTTCCTGCGCTTGGCCTTTGGGGGCGAGGACTCCCCTCCCCCAAACACACGTCCCTGCCGTCGGGTCACGTCCACGGAGCCACATAGTATGCAGCTCTCTGCTCCGAACACGCGTCTGAGGCTCTCCGTGTAGCTGGTGAGCCGCTGGCTGGTTCCTCCGGTGGACAGCGCAGCCGGTTCCAGGTTTGGGTTGCCGTGTGCGAGATGCTGTGCCCGTTCACAGACGGGTCTGGGGAGTGAACTTCCTGCACCTGGCGGGTGTCAGGAGGGATGGCGGTCCCTCGGCGAGTGGCCGTCTGACTCCTAAGGAGCAGTCCAACCCCGTCCCACCGAGGCCGCTGTCCACACCGCGGCACACGAGCTCCGTTCTCTTCGCCAGGCCGGTCAGAGGGGGATCGGGGGATCGCTCTTCTCCCAGATAACATGCAGCACCATTCGGAGATGCAGCGTTCCGATCGGGCGTGCGGGCTCCCGGCGGAGTGATGGGTTTTTCCCTCGGAGCCGCAGAGGCTGGCTGGCAGAGCAGGGAGCCGTGCTGGCGGCGGCGTGTCTGCTTCTCGCCGGCAGACCGCCGCTCCTCAGGTCCTGAGCCAAGCCGCTGGCTGGGCGGGACGCGCCCAGGTTCCCCCGTCGGTGGCTGGCTCTTTCCCTGGACAGCGTCTTCGTCCGGGAAAATGCTTCTCATTTTGGTCAAGTCTAGTTCCTCCGTTTGCCCCTCACAGACCGAGCTCTGGTGTCAGAGTTCAGGGCCACATCTGAGGTCCAGAGTGTCCCCGTTTCCCTGGGGAAACATCTGGGTTCACTTCTGGGTTCCAGGAAGGGGCCAACACCAGCTCTTACACGCCCACTGTCTGATGGCTGACCTCCCAGTGTTAGGTGTGGTGCTAAATACACGGTTTACACACACACACACACACACACACACACACACACACACGTCACAAATACATTTAGGGAACAGTTGCATTACTTTGGGTGGGAAAACCTCCCTTTTCCAAAAAAAGCGAAAGAAAGGTATGCACTCTTAAAAACAGACACTGTGCCCTGGCTGGGTGGCTCAGTAAGTTGGAGCGCCGTCCGGCATACCAGAAGGCTGCAGGTCCAGTGCCCAGTCAGGCCCACGCCTGGGCTGAGTTCCAGCCCTGGTCAGGAGTGTACAGGGGTGGGGTGACCGATCCGTGTTCCTCTCTCACCTAAATGTTCCTCTCTGGCTCTCTCTGAAACAAGCATCGGTAACAAAGATAATCGTGTCACGGGGTGAACGCTTATCTGCAGCCTCAGCATGCAGAGAAGGAAGCAGCCGGAATCCGGCTAGCGGCTGACACTGATGGCCTTGGGGAGAGGGCTGAGGGCCGGGAATCTTTACCTTTTACAAGGAGGCATTACCTCTTTTACAGGGAAAACTGCACATAAACTTAGCGCCTGGCCGGCACGTCTCAGGGGAAGAGCATTGACCTAAGAACCAGGAGGTCACAGTTCGATTCCCGGTCCGGGCCCACACCCGGGCTGCGTGCTGGATCCCCAGTGGGAGACGTGCAAAAGGCAGCCGGTCCATGATTCTCACCATTGATGTTTCTCTCTCTCCCTTCCTGCCCGTTTCCCTTCTGCTCTGAAACCAATAAAAAATATATTTTTTTTAAACTTCAAATAAATTTAAAACCATTAAGTCCAGACTGAAACTCAAGGGACCCAGGGCCCTCATGGGGGGTGGGGAGGGGGGTGTCTGCACCTCGGGGTGCAGGTGGTGACGTGGCCTCTTGGCCTGAGGGCCCCCCACCCCCCCGGTTACTCAGTGGTGTCAGCAGCCGGGGGGGGAGGGGGGTCATCCTCTGACTAGACTACGCTGATTGGACTCAGCCCGAGACCCGGGTGCGGAGCTGGGGGAGTTTAGGGCCCTGTCCTCAGAGGCGTTGCGACCCCTGCTGCTCGGCAGCCACCAGAGCCCAGGCCCGTGGGTGCCTCCCCTGGGACTTCTGGTCTGTGCGGGTGGAGGCCCAGGGGTCAAGGTGTCCGTGCCGGCATGGCAGGCCGGGTATGCACCCAAGCCTGGCTCTGGAGAGCCCCGGCCCTTGGCCGCCTTGCGTCCCTGCCATCTGACGGCCGCTCTCCCGCCCACAGGGAAGAAGAGCCCCACGCTGCTGGAGGTGAGTGTGCCCCACTTCACCAGGACCAACAGCTTCGCCGAGGACCTGGACCTGGAGGGCGAGACGCTGCTGGTGCCCATCACCCACGTGTCGCAGTGAGTGCCACTCGCCAGCCGCAGGGGGCGGGGCGGGCCAGGGCCACGGGGGCGGGGGGCGAGGAGGAGACGGCTGTGGCTGTCTCCGTGTGGTACTAGGATCAGATGGACCCGCCGGCCATCCCTGAGGCCCCTGTGTGACGGGGCTGACGGGAGACCCTGTGTTTGCCAGCTGGGTGGGGGGCCGGTCCCTGGAAATCGGTGACTTCTCCATGTGCCCCTGCGTCTGTTGGCCTGGGAGGGGGCTCCGACCTTGGACGCGGCCTGAGACCACCCGCCAGCGGCCTGGTTACTGGGTGGGAGCCGAGGTGTGAGTGGCAGCTGAGCTGACAGCCTGGCAGGGCCAGGTCGGTGCCCATGGGCAGAGCACCCGCTTCACCCTGGCTCCGAGGCCTATACGAGGGCACCAGAGCCCAAAGCACAGCACCATGGCCTGTGTGCTCGGTGGGAGGACGGAGGGAGCACCATGGCCTGCATACTTGCTGGGGGATTGAGAGGGTGTTTGTCCAGCACTGGCTGGGCCTAAGCAGGCAGGACCCGTCCTCACCCCATGACTGGGAAGGGGCATGGGGCTCGGTGAGGGGTCTGTGGGCACGGGGAAAGAGGACCAGGGACCACGGTCTGTGTGCAGGGCCACCTCAGGCTCTGCGGTCTGGTCAAGGCCACAATGGGAGGGGTCGGGGTTCATAGCAGGCGGGGTGCCACCCCTCAGGGGAGCCCTGGTGGTGAGGGGAGGGTGCAGGCGCACGTGAGGGGCCAGGGCCTCAGAACCTACACGCCCTGGGGCCATGGGCCGGGCAGATACCCACCCCCACAGCTGCATGCGGGCATCATGTTCATTCGGGCCTGCCCCCACCTCGGGGGGGAGGGGCGCCGGCCTCGGTGCCCGCATTCCTGCGCCTCCGGCACGGCTTGCCTGGTGACCGAGCCCCACGGACCTGCCCCGGCTGCTGGGACAGCGCGTTCCCGGCCCCCACCCGGGGGAGAGCCACATGCCCGTGAGCGATGGGGCTGCACGCGGGGTCTCACAGGGGCCGAGCTGGGGGCGTGTCCTGGGAGCAGAACGCTTTCTCAGCGCTTTCTGATGCTGAATGTACTGCAAGTTGGGCCGGCTCCAGAACCCAAATTAAAAGCATAAATAAAGACACATTTTGTTTCCATCTCCAGCTCTCCCCGCCCCGAGGGCCCCAGGGAGGTGAGGTCACCGCAGCCTTGATGACGGAAGGTCCTGGAGCTGGGAGAAGCGAGGGGCAGGGGCTCCGGGGTCACTGACAGCAAACCGGGGAGTTGCTGGGAGCAGAGCTGGGGCCCAGGGGGCTGAGGAGACAGTGCCGTCGGCCACCCTGGGTCTGTGCAGCACGCACCCCCTTCTGGCCGTCTCCCAGGCCCCCCCGGCTGCCTGTGCCCATGCCCGCACTGGTGCCCACTCCGAGCCTGGCTTTAGGGCTGCCAGGGGCAAGTAAAAGGTAGAGGCAGGACAGGTCAGGCACAGTGTGGGAATGGGCAGCCCCTCCCAACTCCACAGGAGGGGAGCCCTGCACCCACAAGAGCCAGGGAGGTTTCTGGGGCTTCTGCCCACCGAGGGCACAGGCACCGCGGATGGAGGGGGGCCCGGCCCTGGGCCCGGCACATGGCGCCCAAGGAACTGGGCGGGCAGCGAGTCGTCGTCGTCGTCGTCGTCGTCCTCTTCCTTCTCCTCCCCCCCCCCCCCCCCCCCCGCACCGCTTGCCCTCAGCAGAGGCCCAGGAGCCAGGGTGCAGCGTGTCCTCCTCCCGCACGAGGCCCTGGGGCCACCCCGAGCTGTCAGCAAGGGACCAGGCCTTTCTAGGGTGTTTCCCCGCCGACCCTGGGCTTCTGGGGAGCAGGGCATGTGTGGCTCCCCAGCACCCTCAAAGCCCCAGGCCGGGGTAGCTCCAGCCTCCCGAGCAGACAGCCCCCGCCACCTGCCGTGGGGTCCAGCGGGCACATCCCAAGGAGGAGAGGGCGAGGGTTCCAGGAGCCTCAGCGCCGACCCAGGGCCAGGCCAGCTGGGCAGAGAGGCCTGGGCAGGAGGACGGCTCAGCTCATGCAGCCCCCCACCCCACCCAGGCCTCCGGCACCGTCCATGGCAGGGGCTCCTGAGGCAGAGGGTGCAGAGGCTGGGGGCACTTGCTTCTGTTGGCCACCCCGCCCCCGCCTGCCCTGCAGGGGAGCATCGCGGTGGGCTCTGTGCACCCCGGGCCCACAGGTGACGGCGCCCGGAGAGCATGTGGCCTCGGGCCCCCTGCGCCGTGACAGCCCTTAGGTCCTTTAGCAAAACCAGCCTCATGTGTGTTAATTAGAGTTTCCATGTCTTCAACTTTCCCCCGGACCCTGCAGAATCTCACGCCAAAACGTTCCCGTCTCTGCTTTCCAGCGAGGCCGCTGTGGCCTGGCTTTCGTCCACATCGCTGCTAACGTCTCCTGAATTCTGCATCCGTCAGCGAGGCCAGGGCCAGCCCGGCCGTGCCCTGTGGAAACGGGGCAAACGTGACAGGCTTGGCCCCGCGTGGGCTCCATGGGCCGGGCAGCTCGTGGTGGGACAACTTGCTTGGACACTTTGGTGGCTCGGGTCCCACGACCACTGGCCACAGCGGCACGGGCAGCGCCCCTCTGCTGGCTCCTTGCTCTGTTCCCGCCCTGCAGACCGGAGGTGGGGGGGGCAGGGAGGCCGTGCTGGGGCCAGTGTCCAGCAGACAGGAGAGGGGGCTCGCAGGAACAGGAGAGACCAGTGTCCGCTCTTCTCAGGCCCGACCACCTCTGCCTGCCTGCGGTGCCCGGAGTCACAGGCTCCGCGCCCGGCAGAGCTCACAGCCCCGCCAGGCTCAGCCGGCCCCGAAAGGCACGGAGTGGGGGAGGAAATGTCCCCGGACTCCACGAAACGCCAGGCGGACGGCTCGGCGGGAAGGGGACGGGACTGGGAAGGGGACGCCCTCAGGCTGGCTCCCGGCTGGCACCGGCCCAACTGTGGGCGGCCCCCAGGGGCCCCACCCTCTGGGAGCACCGCTTCGTCCACGGAGCACGTGGGGCGGCGCCGTCGGGGAGCAGGCCCAGAGCGGAGCGGCAGCCTCACGGCCTCGGTTGCCCTTCGGGGAGGCGGTGGACCGGGGAGAGGAGCACGACACCCCCCCCCGTGGGGCGGGGCGGGGGACAGAGTGGCCTGGGGGCATTTCTGGAGGTTGGGGTCCCCCGTGTAAATGAGGAGGGGCCTGAGGGACAACCTCATAGGGCCAGGAGCTTCTGAAACTACCAGGTCACGAGTTTCCCTGGGGTCAGGGGTCAGGGTCTGTAGCCACCAGGGCTGGTCCTTAATGGGTGCCTGGGGCCCAGGAGCCAGGCCTGGGGTGGGAGGCGGGGCCGCTGGCAGCTGGGCAGGGGCTTCCAGCTGTTTGGGCTCCTGTGAGGGGCAGGGGTACTGCTAAGCCTTTCTACAGGTGCCAGGGCACCAGGTCCCCCTGAAACGCCGAATCCACACCCCTGGGCATCACAGTTCTCATTACTGCTGTGACCTGCAGGGGCTGAGCGTGACCAGCCTGTCTACCGCACGGCCACACACGGGCTGGTATCTGCCTGGCCAGGTTGGTGTCAGCGTGGGCCTGGGCCTCGGCCTATGAATGTTTCACCCGTGAGGATGCCGGATCTCAGCGCTACGCAGGCCTACACTGGGCGGGGCGGGGGCGGGGGCGAGGGCGGGGGCGAGGGCAAGGGCGGGGGCGGGGGCGAGGGCGGGGGCGAGGGCGAGGGCGGGGGCGAGGGCGAGGGCAGGGAGACCTTCTTGCTGGTATGGGGACCCTCGAGTGGGGAGGGCAGCATAGGGTATCGGGCGAGCAGGCCTCCTGCGAGAGGGAGCCCTGTATTCCTCGGCGAGGCAGCACGGCGGGCCCGGCCTGAGGTTTCTGTGGCGGTGGGCCTGGGGCGCGGCCCCTCGTTCTGGTGCTGGCAGCCTCGGAGGGGCTGGCCGGGGTCTCGGGCCGTGGGGCGGGCAGCGGGGAGCTGGCTGCCGGGCCACCCAGTGCGGGCAGGAAGGGAAGGAATGCGCTGAGGCGGGCGTGGCTGGCTGAGCAGCGCCCAGGGAGCTGTGGGTTTTCTGGGGCCCGAGAGCCCTGAGCAGAGACGGAGGCCCCTCTGCCTCCGCCAGGCACACACTGGGACCTTTCTTCGCGTGCCGCGGGGACGGGGCCAAGGACACCTCTGGAACCAAATTCCATGCGCTCTTGGCAGAGGGTGCTTCCTGCCGGGGAAGGTGCGCTGCACGCGCACGTGTGCCCGCCAGGGGCTGGGGCCCGGGCCGGGCAGGAGCGTGGGGAGGCAGGGCAGGCGACACGGGAGTTTCCGGCACCGGTGAGCACGTGGGGAGCCTGTCCGTCCGTCCGAGGGGCCAGACAAGTGCCCGGAGGGGGGCTGTGAACTGGGCTCCGGCTCAGAACGGCCTGGCCAAGCATGCCGCTGCCTCTGAGAGCCAGGGCTCCTTGCAAAATAACTCAGAACATTTGTTGAACCTAAACCTTTCCCAATGCTCCTTCCTTCTGAAGTTAACTCATTAACGCTGCTCCGATCCAGCCGGTGCCAGGCCCGCTTCCTGGAAACCCTCGTACCACCAGCCGGAGAGGCCCGTCACCCTGACGCCTGTCAAACATGGCGCTGGGCACCGCGACGCTGCGCTCAACGGCCCTTTGTGTCCGCTCCAGATGCACGGCTTCTCCAGCCTCCCCGGCCGGCTCAGCCACTCTTCCCGCCGGCTTCTCTGCCGACGGCGGAGCCGGCCTCCCCGCTCCGGGCAGGGGCAGCGGTGCCCGGGCAGAGCCCCCAGAGCAGCTAGTGTGGGCCTCTCCCACATGGGTCCCCGGCGCCATCTCCCCATTGCCTCCTCCGGCCCCCTCGGTGCTGCCCTGCCCCCAAGAGAAATCGGCCCCCCTCAGTCCACGCAGATCGGACACTGGCCTGGATACCCCGGCCCGGGCGGCGGCCGGCACCCGGTGTCA